ACAGTAGTAGTTGTTTGTTCCACTGACAGTAGTTGTTGTTTGTTCCACTAACAGTAGTTGTTGTTTGTTCCACTAACAGTAGTTGTTGTTTGTTCCACTAACAGTAGTAGTTGTTTGTTCCACTAACAGTAGTAGTTGTTTGTTCCACTAACAGTAGTTGTTGTTTGTTCCACTAACAGTAGTTGTTTGTTCAACTAACAGTAGTTGTTGTTTGTTCCACTAACAGTAGTTGTTGTTTGTTCCACTAACAGTAGTTGTTGTTTGTTCAACTAACAGTAGTTGTTTGTTCCACTAACAGTAGTTGTTTGTTCCACTAACAGTAGTTGTTGTTTGTTTCACTAACAGTAGTTGTTGTTTGTTCCACTAACAGTAGTTGTTGTTTGTTCAACTAACAGTAGTTGTTGTTTGTTCCACTAACAGTAATTGTTGTTTGTTCCACTAACAGTAATTGTTGTTTGTTCAACTAACAGTAGTTGTTTGTTCCACTAACAGTAGTTGTTTGTTCCACTAACAGTAGTTGTTGTTTGTTCAACTAACAGTAGTTGTTGTTTGTTCCACTAACAGTAGTTGTTGTTTGTTCAACTAACAGTAGTTGTTGTTTGTTCCACTAACAGTAGTTGTTGTTTGTTCAACTAACAGTAGTTGTTTGTTCCACTAACAGTAGTTGTTTGTTCCACTAACAGTAGTTGTTGTTTGTTCAACTAACAGTAGTTGTTGTTTGTTCCACTAACAGTAGTTGTTTGTTCCACTAACAGTAGTTGTTGTTTGTTCCACTAACAGTAGTTGTTGTTTGTTCCACTAACAGTAGTTGTTTGTTCCACTAACAGTAGTTGTTTGTTCCACTAACAGTAGTAGTTGTTTGTTCCACTAACAGTGGTTGTTTGTTCCACTAACAGTAGTTGTTGTTTGTTCCACTAACAGTAGTTGTTGTTTGTTCCACTAACAGTAGTAGTTGTTTGTTCCACTAACAGTAGTTGTTGTTTGTTACACTAACAGTAGTTGTTTGTTCAACTAACAGTAGTTGTTGTTTGTTCCACTAACAGTAGTTGTTGTTTGTTCAACTAACAGTAGTTGTTTGTTCCACTAACAGTAGTTGTTTGTTCCACTAACAGTAGTTGTTGTTTGTTCCACTAACAGTAGTTGTTTGTTCCACTAACAGTAGTTGTTGTTTGTTCAACTAACAGTAGTTGTTGTTTGTTCCACTAACAGTAGTTGTTGTTTGTTCAACTAACAGTAGTTGTTGTTTGTTCCACTAACAGTAATTGTTGTTTGTTCAACTAACAGTAGTTGTTTGTTCCACTAACAGTAGTTGTTTGTTCCACTAACAGTAGTTGTTGTTTGTTCAACTAACAGTAGTTGTTGTTTGTTCCACTAACAGTAGTTGTTTGTTCCACTAACAGTAGTTGTTGTTTGTTCAACTAACAGTAGTTGTTGTTTGTTCCACTAACAGTAGTTGTTGTTTGTTCAACTAACAGTAGTTGTTTGTTCCACTAACAGTAGTTGTTTGTTCCACTGACAGTAGTTGTTGTTTGTTCCACTAACAGTAGTTGCTGTTTGTTCAACTAACAGTAGTTGTTGTTTGTTCCACTAACAGTAGTTGTTGTTTGTTCAACTAACAGTAGTTGTTTGTTCCACTAACAGTAGTTGTTTGTTCCACTGACAGTAGTTGTTGTTTGTTCCACTAACAGTAGTAGTTGTTTGTTCCACTAACAGTAGTTGTTTGTTCCACTAACAGTAGTAGTTGTTTGTTCCACTAACAGTAGTAGTTGTTTGTTCCACTAACAGTAGTTGTTGTTTGTTCTACTAACAGTAGTTGTTGTTTGTTCCACTAACAGTAGTTGTTTGTTCCACTAACAGTAGTAGTTGTTTGTTCCACTAACAGTAGTAGTTGTTTGTTCCACTAACAGTAGTTGTTGTTTGTTCAACTAACAGAAGTTGTTGTTTGTTCAACTAACAGTAGCTGTTGTTTGTTCCACTAACAGTAGTTGTTGTTTGTTCCACTAACAGTAGTTGTTTGTTCCACTGACAGTAGTTGTTGTTTGTTCCACTAACAGTAGTTGTTGTTTGTTCAACTAACAGTAGTTGTTTGTTCCACTAACAGTAGTTGTTGTTTGTTCCACTAACAGTAGTAGTTGTTTGTTCCACTAACAGTAGTTGTTGTTTGTTCCACTAACAGTAGTTGTTGTTTGTTCCACTAACAGTAGTAGTTGTTTGTTCCACTAACAGTAGTTGTTGTTTGTTCCACTAACAGTAGTTGTTGTTTGTTCCACTAACAGTTGTTAGTTTAACCACAAACGGCCGTAATATCACTATCACTCTCCACCAGACTCCAGAGAGAAAAACACTCATTTTAACTCACATATTTTAAGTCATTATAAAGAGAAAGTGTCTCATTATCACACTGCTTCAACATTCAAGAAACACACAGCTGACAGGCCTGCTGTGTACGGTAGCTGTGATTGGACAGTCGCTGTGGGGGGGGAGGGGCTTAGTCAGAAATGAACACTGTGTGCAGAAAGTAGCTTCCTCTTTTTTATTTTTGTTTTGCCGTCATTGTTCTGCAATCACACCGTCAGCATCTGGTCGCACTGCACCACATCACTTAACTACATGTACAAACACATACAGACACCCAACAGGAAACTCACACACTGCCTCCCTCCCTCCCCCTCTCCCTTCTTCTGCTTTTCATATGACGGAGGTCAAAGTTTCTTCCTCTTTCCCACACTCACTTAGACCGGCTGCGATTGTCCCAGATGAAAACAGAAACCCAAAGTCTGAACTCTCAAACTGGGAGCCAAAAATGTGTGAAATGTGAGACAGTGTCCTCATTGTTATGGTGTAAAGTTTGATAGGAACACACACACACACACACACACACATAAATCCCTGGTTCCCAGCCAACCAAATGAACGTGGTCTCGGTCCAGAGCTCCAGAGGTTCCTGCCGGTAGCTCTGGAGCTTGTTTGTGTGCTGAGGACTTTAGCTCAGGGGGAGGATTGCTGCTTCCTGTTTCAACAAGAAGGTTACACAAGCTGCTTCATGGTGACATCATAGATACACTCCCTGATTCAGTTTCACAACAACCACTGAGAGCTCATCTAATAACGCATCAGAAACACACTATTGATCCCCGGGGGAAATTGGGTTAATGTCAGATTGTAATTAAAAAGCCTTTTCATAATGCGTGAGTGTGTGTGTGTGTGTGTGTGTGTGTGTGTGTGTGTGTGTCTCTGCAGGGATATCTGGTCTCTGGGCTGCGTCCTGTATGAACTCTGCACCCTGAGGCATCCAGTAAGCTGCACAACACCCAGCACATCAGCACCTGCTAACACTGAGCTAATGCTAATGTGTGTGTGTGTGTGTGTGTGTGTGTGTGTGTGTGTGTGTGTGTGTGTGTGCAGTTTGAGGGCAGCAGTCTGCGGCAGCTGGTCAGTAAGATCTGCAGGGGGCGCTACAACCCAGTACCCAGCCGCTACTCCTACGACCTTCGGCTGCTGGTCACCCAGCTGTTCAAGGTGATGATGTCAGTGAGTCACCTGCAGCAGGTTGCACCTGAACCTCCACGCTGACACACACATCAGGGACTGACTGTGGGCGAGAGCTTCAGTCTGGATCTTAAGCCCAATACTGGACCGGCAGTTCCGGATCTTACCACTAGGTGTCACTCCTGAGTACGAAGCCAGTGAATGAGAGCGGAGTTGAGTTCCTGCCAATCTTTCACAATAAAAGCCTTGTTAAAAAGGCTTTTAACCGATCAATATATTGAGCTTTATTGACCCGATCCAGTATATCATGACTCGGACTTGAACTCTGATGACTCGGGACTTGAACTTGTGTGCGAACCCTTTATGTGACATTAGATGAGTGTTTCCATTTCAGTTTGACTTTATATGAATCCAGTATCAGGGTTTATCCTGGGACACCAGTGAGCCTGCCCATTAGAACCAGCGACTGTCAGGAGCTGCTGCTAACGGCTGCTAAAGGCTGCTAACGGCTGCTAGCGGCTGCTACTGGCTGCTAACGGCTGCTAGTGGCTGCTAACAGCTGCTAACGGCTGCTAGTGGCTGCTAACGGCTGCTAACGGCTGCTAGTGGCTGCTAGTGGCTGCTAACGGCTGCTAGTGGCTGCTAGTGGCTGCTAGTGGCTGCTAACGGCTGCTAACGGCTGCTAATGGCTGCTAGTGGCTGCTAACGGCTGCTAACGGCTGCTAGTGGCTGCTAGTGGCTGCTAACGGCTGCTAGTGGCTGCTAGTGGCTGCTAACGGCTGCTAGTGGCTGCTAACGGCTGCTAGTGGCTGCTAACGGCTGCTAACGGCTGCTAGCGGCTGCTACTGGCTGCTAACGGCTGCTAGCGGCTGCACACTGTCCGCTGTGGTCCTGCAGAGGAAAGTGTTGCAGCAGCTGTTCAGGATATTATTGCTGCTCATGAGGAAACTTCCATTGTCTGCTGGAGACTCTGGAAACAGGAACTTCGTACAACTTTCACAGCAACTAAAATAACCTCTGAAAGACAGAAAGTGAGCTGCTATATGCACAGAATGATATTAGTTATTGATTATTGATATTAGCAGGAATATTAATCTGATTCAGATATAACAGGAAACACAGAGTAAAAGTAATAATATTGTTCCAGGTCAGCCCCCGGGACCGGCCCTCGGTCAGCTCTGTCCTCAGACGTCCCTACCTGGAGAAGCACATCAGCAGACACCTGGAGCCACAGGTGATCAATCTGATTGGTTCATTAACCCTCAATGCTAACGTAATGCTACGAGTCAGAGAGCTAACATAAGGCTACGCTACGAGTCAGAGAGCTAACGTAATGCTACGAGTCAGAGAGCTCACGTAATGCTACGAGTCAGAGCTAACGTAATGTTACGAGTCAGAGAGCTAACGTAATGCTACGAGTCAGAGAGCTAACGTAACGCTACGAGTCAGAGCTAACGTAATGTTACGAGTCAGAGAGCTAACGTAATGCTACGAGTCAGAGAGCTCACGTAATGCTACGAGTCAGAGAGCTAACGTAACGCTACGAGTCAGAGCTAACGTAATGTTACGAGTCAGAGAGCTAACGTAATGCTACGAGTCAGAGAGCTCACGTAATGCTACGAGTCAGAGAGCTAACGTAATGCTACGAGTCAGAGAGCTAACGTAATGTTACGAGTCAGAGAGCTAACATAAGGCTACGAGTCAGAGAGCTAACGTAATGCTACGAGTCAGAGAGCTAACGTAATGCTACGAGTCAGAGAGCTCACGTAACGCTACGAGTCAGAGCTAACGTAATGTTACGAGTCAGAGAGCTAACGTAATGCTACGAGTCAGAGAGCTAACGTAACGCTACGAGTCAGAGCTAACGTAATGTTACGAGTCAGAGAGCTAACGTAATGCTACGAGTCAGAGAGCTCACGTAATGCTACGAGTCAGAGAGCTAACGTAACGCTACGAGTCAGAGCTAACGTAATGTTACGAGTCAGAGAGCTAACGTAATGCTACGAGTCAGAGAGCTCACGTAATGCTACGAGTCAGAGAGCTAACGTAATGCTACGAGTCAGAGAGCTAACGTAATGTTACGAGTCAGAGCGAACGTAATGTTACGAGTCAGAGAGCTAACGTAATGCTACGAGTCAGAGAGCTAACGTAATGCTACGAGTCAGAGAGCTAACGTAATGTTACGAGTCAGAGAGCTAACGTAATGTTACGAGTCAGAGAGCTAACGTAATGCTACGAGTCAGAGAGCTAACGTAACGCTACGAGTCAGAGCTAACGTAATGTTACGAGTCAGAGAGCTAACGTAATGCTACGAGTCAGAGAGCTCACGTAATGCTACGAGTCAGAGAGCTAACGTAATGCTACGAGTCAGAGAGCTAACGTAATGCTACGAGTCAGAGAGCTAACGTAATGCTACGAGTCAGAGAGCTAACATAAGGCTACGCTACGAGTCAGAGAGCTAACGTAATGCTACGAGTCAGAGAGCTCACGTAATGCTACGAGTCGGAGAGCTAACGTAACGCTACGAGTCAGAGCTAACGTAAGGCTACGAGTCAGAGAGCTAACGTAATGCTACGAGTCAGAGAGCTAACGTAATGCTACGAGTCAGAGAGCTAACGTAATGCTACGAGTCAGAGAGCTAACATAATGCTACGAGTCAGAGAGCTAACGTAATGCTACGAGTCAGAGAGCTAATGATTTGTTAAAATTAAAGAAACACATTAAGGATAAATAAATACTCCATCTTGACCTTTTTCTGACTTTTTCAGGTAAAGTTTAACATAAAAAACAATATTCTCATTTCTGATGGTTTGTATCCCAGAATACTTTAATGAAGCTTCATCAGGAAGACTCCTCCTCATCCTCACAGCTCTGATTTCCTCCTGAACAGCCGGAGGAAGAGTTCTTCTTTATTCTATATATTATAATTATATTGTATAATATGTGTGTGTGTGTCTGTGTGTGTATGTGTGTGTGTGTGTGTCTGTGTGTGTGCGTGTGTGTCTGTGTGTGTGTGTGTGTGTGTGTGTATCTGTGTGTGTGTGTGTGTCTGTGTGTGTATCTGTGTATCTGTGTGTGTGTGTGTATCTGTGTATCTGTGTGTGTCTGTGTGTGTGTGTGTGTCTGTGTGTCTGTGTGTGTGTCTGTGTGTGTGTGTGTGTATGTGTGTGTGTATCTGTGTGTGTGTGTCTGTGTGTGTCTGTGTGTGTCTGTGTGTGTGTGTGTGTCTGTGTGTGTGTGTGTGTGTGTGGTTTCCTGTGTGCAGGTGATGCAGCAGGAGTTCAACCACGCGGCGCTGTGTGGAAACAGAGCAGCAAACACACACACAGGTAACATCAGCTGACACTGAGACACTGCGGTGGACTCTGGCGCCACCCAGTGGTCGTTCACACTGTTGCTGCTGGCTCTGCTCTATCGTGAGTCCTGATTGGACGAATTGAATGCGTCACATGTTGGCTCACAGTGTGTTTTGGTAACAGTCGCTGAGGGAGTGTCTCTCTGTGCTCTCACTGACACCGTCCTCTGATCCAGAGAAGAAGTCCAGACCTGCTCAGAGACCCGCCCTGAACAGACGGCCTGCTAAACCAGACTGGAGAGTCCCTCTCAGAGCCTACACCCCCCCTCCCTACAAAGTAATAATAATAATAACATATTGGGGTTATTGCTATGTTTATGTATTCATGGTAATAAAGTGAGGAAGTAATCAACTGTGCTGGAATGTAACTAAGTACATTTACTCAAGTATTGTACTTCAGTGATAATCCTCCAATAATGTCTTTATATATCAATAAATATATATATATAAATATATCAATGTTTTCTATAATAAATACTTTTACTGATTTACTCTTCCTGAGGTAGGATTACTAATACTGGAGGATTACTGTGCAGTAATAGAGTATTTCATACTGTGATATTGTTCCTCAGAGAGGACGAGCAGCTGCAGGCAGAGCGCTCTCAGGGCAGAACAACCACAGGTGAACCACGTTACTCTTCACTAATCTTCATCTTCATCAGCGAGCTTTTACACAAAGACTAAAACTGTGACTGCCGCAGGTTGAACGAGCAGCAGCCGGTCAGCCATTACCAGCACTACCACGCACAGCTGGACGCCTTCCAGAGGAGGAACCAGGAGGACGTCCTTCCTCCTGCTCCTCCTCCTCCTCTTCAGGAGCGCTGTGAAGACCTCGCTGTGGAACCATACCAGCTGTGACTCACTCATACAACTATTTTAATTATTATTCAATTCTTCCTCATTCCTTCCTTATTAATTATTATAATAATGAAAGCAGGAGGCTGCTGGCTGTGGTTTCATGGTGCAGACATTAGAGCAGTGATGACCTGTGATCTCACAGCATATTATTTATATGCTGTATCAATATTTCCCACAATGTTTAACTGTTGTCAATAATCTGTTTCCAACATAATTCATTTGTGATGTTTTGTCCTAATGGACACTAACGCTGTCAACCTCGTGTCTGTTTGTGTCAGTGTGGCTGCAGCTCGTAACGAGTACCTGCAGAGGAGACACGACGCCAACCAGTACAAACTGAGAGCAGAGAAACAGCTGGTAGGATGAAGCTCACATTATTACATCATTTAGAGCTCTTACTAAGCCCCGCCCCTTTTTACTCTCTGCTCCAATCACAGTTGAGCAAGCCTCGGTCAACTTCCTCCTTTCCTGTACTTAGACATGCTATGTGCTAGGCTACAAAGAGACGCATCTTAAAGGACAGTTCCGGCGGTAAATGAACCTGGGGTCACTAACAAGACTCAAAATAGCACCACACTTACACGGTAGCATAATGAGGGCCCCTACCTGTAAACCGAAGCATTGAGAACTTTGTAAGTGTACAGACAGTTTATTAAAAAGATAGTTTAGAACAACAGTAGCGTTCTCGTATACAGGCGGGCGCCATCTTGGGAAAACAGTCAGGGGTTCGGTCATTCATGCAGATCAATGATAAAGACTTCCAGCTGGCGATGTGAACTAAAACAAACGTAATTTGCTCAATATATCAGAAATAATCGCACCGATGTAAAACACACCTCGTCTCGTGTACTTACTCAGTGGATACCTGTCCATCTGGTCCCTCCGGTATGACTCGCTGCCTCCAATTTATTTTCGGGACATGGAAAAAAGTTTTTTAGCGGTTTGTGCTAAAACCGGTCACGGTCGATTAGCATGAAAACATATCCCAGAGAACGGACCAACTCGGTACACGTGTGTTATTAACCCCAGGTTCATTTTGAGCCAGAATTGTCCTTTAAGTTAGCTAATGTCAGCAAAACAAAGTGTTAGTTAACTAGTGTTTAGCTGACATTAGCCTTCTCCTCTATAGTCTCTGCGTATAGGCGTTAAAAATAAAACAACATTAGCAGGTAGCTGCTGGTCAACGTGGGGTGAGGTAGCACGCATCATTGTCTGGATGCTTCTGCTAGGTGAGGACGAAGGTGGGGTGTTCTGTTCAAATGTGGGGGAGTTGTTAGTGCACCTATGCTACTTTTCAATGTATTGAGTGGATGTGTATCGCCTTTTTTTTTTTTTTTTTCTCTCGCTGTCTTTTTGTTTGTTACATACTGAATTCTTTGTCTGTCAATGACCCAGGTTAAGAGTACACTATCCAGTGTGGGTGGGGCTGTTAGATTTGTGAGTTTAAACTGTAAGGGCCTTAATAATCCAATCAAGCGCAGTAAAGTGCTGCACTACTTACGCCACCTCGATGCTCATATAATATACTTGCAGGAAACCCATTTAAAAGAGATAGATAGTGTTAGACTGAAGAAGAGCTGGGTCGGGAAAATATACCATTCCTCATTTTCCAGTAAATCTAGAGGGGTTGCTATTCTTCTACATAGAGATATTCCTTTTGTCCATGTCAAGACAATCTCTGATTCTGCTGGCAGGTTTATTGCTGTCATGGGACACATTTTCGATGTAAAGGTGACTCTTGCTAATATTTATGCACCCAACTGGGATGATGAGTCCTTTTTTAGACAGGTTTTCTCAATGCTACCGGACCTGTCCATGTATGATTTAATCTTAGGAGGGGACTTTAACTGCTGGCTGAATCCTTCCTAAGATCGTTCTTCCTCAACCTCGGCTGCTCTGTCCAAATCGACCAAAGTGATTCAAGCCTTTATGAATGAGTTTAATGTTGTTAAAAGAGAATACTCATTTTTCCCATATATTCACCGTACCTATACACGAATTGACTTCTTTTTAGTGGATAACAAGTTGTTATCCTCCATTTCTGGCTGTAAATATGATTCCATTGTTGTGTCGGACCATGCAATGTTTACTTTTAGAAGTTTGTTAATACAAGACCACCATGGTGCCTACATACACATTTACTGTTAGATACAGACTTTATTAAATTTGTTTCTGAGCAATTAGAATTCTTTTTTCAGGTTAACAAAACTCCAGAAATAACAGCCTCTGTGTTGTGGGACACAATGAAAGCTTTTATCAGGGGGGAGATTATTTCCTATAAGGCTCATCAGAGGAAATCTAGAAGAGAGAAGCTAGCCAAGCTATCCCAACGTATCGCACAATTAGATACTTTATATGCAGTCTGGAAACTGCCAGATACCTTTAAGGAGTGAATGACTTTACAAGCTGAATATGATCTTATTATGTTACAGTACACTACTGAACTTTTACTACATTCAAGATCTAAATTTTATGAACAGGGAGATAGACTAGTAAACGTTTGGCCCATCGGCTACGTCAGATATCTGCATCTCAGTTAATTCCTCAAATTGAAACTGGCTGGTGTGTAACATCTGACCCTTTGGAAATTAATAAAACTTTTATGGAATTCTATAAATTGCTTTATTCATCTGATTGTCGTAATACCTCTGCGGATATGATCTCCTTCTTTGATAGGTTTAACACTCCCACTTTGGATCGGGTTGCAGCTGAGGAGCTGGAACGTCCTATCACAGCGATTGAACTAGAGGCGACAGTTAAATCATTACAAAGTGGTAAAAGTCCGGGCCCGGATGGCTTCCCAGTTTTATAAAACAGGGTAGAGTGGGATTATCTTTTTTTCATTTTGGGGAAATGTGGTTCTGGGGAAAAATTTGTTTCGTGGGTCAGGTTGTTATATGCTTCTCCTCAGGCCTTGGTCAAGACAAATGGCACAAATTCTGAATATTTCCAGTTACATCGTTCTACAAGGCAGGGTTGCCCTTTAAGTCCACTCTTATTTGCCATTGTGATGGAGCCTTTGTCAATTGCTCTGCGGTCTCATCCTGATATTTGTGGTATAACCAGAAATGGTGTAGAGCTGAAGGTGGCGCTGTATGCGGATGATCTTTTGCTGTTTTTGTCTAATCTGTCACGTTCTATTCCTGCAGCCCTCTTAGTCCTAGACGAATTTAGTAGATTCTCTGAATATAAACTTAATCTGGGCAAAAGTGAAATGTTTACTGTTAATGGAGAGGTAAATGAAGACTCACTTCAACTCCAAAAATGTACCATTTAAGGTTGTGAACTCTGGCTTCGTTTATCTCTGAGTTTATGTTGCCAAAACGTTGGTTCATCTCTATAGGGAAAATGTTCTCTCTCTGCTCACAAAAATTGAACAAGATTTTGAGTGATGGTCGCTACTAAACCTTTCTATATCTGCCAGAATCAATGCAATTAAAATGAACATTTTCCCTTTTTATATTTATTCCAATGCATTCCGATCTTCCTTCCTTTTTCATTCTTTCGTAAGGTAGATAGTCTTATTATTGATTTTATTTGGAACAAGAAAACTCCTAGGTTGCGTCGACAAGTTTTACAGAGGCCCAAGGCTCTGGGGGGAATGGTGTTGCCAAACTTTCTTTACTATTATTGGGCAACAAACACTAGAAATTTGAACTATTGGGTTAATTATAGAGATATTGCGGTCCCTCCATCATGGTTGATCCTGGAAGCAAATTCTGTTCATCCGGTATCATTGGAAGCCTTACTGTACTCACCTCTGTCTTTTTCTATTTCTGGTTATACTAACAATGTGATAGTGGCCTCCAGTATTAAAATATGGACTCAATTTAGACGTCATTTTGGCCTGCAAACACTTTCTGTTGGTGCTCCACTTGCAGCTAATCCTTTTTTTCCCCCATCGTTATTGGACAGTACTTTCTCTATATGGACTAGGCTGGGCATAAAAGAGACCTGTATGTTGATTCTATTTTTGCTTCTTTTCAGCAATTGAAAAATACATTTTTGCTTCCTAAAGGACATTTTTTTAGATACCTTCAAGTTCGAAATTTTATCCGTAGCTCATTCCCAGAATTCCCTGCTCTTCCTAAGTCTTCAGATTTCGAAACATTTCTGAAGCCTCTTGCTTCATTAAAGGGGGCAATCTCTTCTATTCATTTAAATATTTATAACCTCTGTCAAGGCTCTTTTACTGTACTTAAAACAGTTTGGGAGACAGATCTTGGAGAGGTGATTCTTGATGATGTTTGGGAGGAGATTTTATGGAGAGTACATAAGTCTTCAGTCTGTGCTGGACACAGCTTTATGCAATGTCGAATTCTCCATCGAGCTCACTACATTAAAGCTCGGCTTGCAAAAATATTTGATACAGTGTCTCCCCTATGTGAACGATGCCAACATGGCTGTGGCTCAGAGGCAGAGCGGGTCGTTCCTTAATCGGAAGGGTATGGGTTCGATCCCCGGCTCCTGGTGCCACATGTTGAAGTATCCTTGAGCAAGATACTGAACCCCAAATTGCTCCCGATGCCGTGCATTGGTGTATGAATTAGTTTCTGTTCGATGGGCTTTGCCATCACTGAGTGAATGTGTGTGAAAGGGTGAATGTGGCACGTAGTGTAAAAGCGCTTTGAGTGGTCGGAAGACTAGAAAGGTGCTATACAAGTACAGGTCCATTTACCATTTACCAACAAGCCACAGCAAATTATTCACACATGTTTTGGAGCTGTTCCTCTCTGACTAGATTTTGGTCTGAGATCTTTAGTACTTACTTACTATCCAAGGTAACTAGAAGGGATGTGACCCCTAATACCTTAACTGCTCTGTTTGGTGTATGGCCTTTCCCACTTACTCTTTCCCCAGCTAAAAAGGACTTGATTGCATTCACAACTCTGCTGGCCAGGAGATTGATACTGCTAAAATGGAAATCCCCAGTCCCACCTACCTATACAAACTGGGTTAGGGAGGTGCTTTATTTTCTTAAATTAGAATATTTACGTATTTATATCTATCAACCCATCATTTTAGTTTTTCTTTCCTTTTCAACTATATGTCCCCATCTATCGGGGCTAGGTGCTGGTGGGAGGGGGGGGGGGGGTTGGAATCTCTCCTGTGATATGTTGAATTTACATCTCTAATTACTATTGTATGGAACAGTATTGTTTGTTTGTTTTATAACTATGTATCATCCAATAAACAGATTGTTCAAAAAATAAAACAACAGACTACAGACAGTAAAGATTTCTCTATTACACTGTGGATGAGCCACAGCAACCTCTAACCTTTGACCTTTCCTGTCTGACCGTCAGGGTCTGCGTCCGTGTACAGCCGAGCGCAACAGGAAGCCCGGCGGTCAGGAGCAGGAAGTGGGACAACACCAACATGAACCTCCGGACAGGAAGCAGGAGGGACGGCAGGTAGGACCCACAGCAGACACACTGAGGGTGGATGTAACTGAGTACTTTTACTCAAGTAGTGTAGTGAAGTGTGAGTACTTCTATCTTCAGGAGTACCTGCGTCAGCTGGAGGCCATCAGACAGCAGTATCAGCACGAGATGAGACAGAGGAGGCTGAGAGCTGAAGCAGAGGTACCAACAGATTCCTGTATCCCATAATGCACTGCAGGGCAGCTGACTGTCTCTTGGTGATGGTTAAATGATGCTACAGCTCAGCAGACTCCACAGACAATAACACTCATTTTACCTTGTAGACAAAAACACTTGAAACCAGATGGAAACTAAATAAAACTAAAAGACTTTATTATTCTTTCAACAATCAACAACTCTGGTTTGGATTCTATAGACAATAACTCATTATAGCTGAATATAGCTGCTAATGTACAGGTAAAGGTTCTCTGGATGGAGACCACAGATAATAAGATATACCTTTATTAATAATAAATGATATATATCAGGAAGAGTCAGTGTTAATGTCACATTTGACTGAATGTCGATTACAGACCAGTTGTTCCTGTCTCGATAATCAATAAGACAATCAATATATTTTCACCGTCTCAGGCTCAACCACACAAACAAGCAACCTTTGTGGTGGACAAACCCAGAGAGCCTCCTGCAGACGGTAAAGAGCAGCAGAGAGCTCCACCTGCTCAGGTAAATACTGCCAGAGGAAGAGATCGAGTCCAGTGACCACAACGAGTGCTGACAGTCTCTCTCTGGTTCCCTCTGGTTCTCTCTGTGGTTCTCTCTGTGGTTCTCTCTCTGGTTCCCTCTGGTTCTCTCTGGCTTTCTCTCTCTGGTTCTCTCTGGCTCTCTCTCTCTGGTTCTCTCTCTGGTTCTCTCTCTGGTTCTCTCTGGCTCTCTCTCTCTGGTTCTCTCTCTGGTTCTCTCTGGCTCTCTCTCTCTGGTTCTCTCTCTGGTTCTCTCTGGTTCTCTCTGGTTCTCTCTCTGGTTCTCTCTCTGGTTCTCTCTGGTTCTCTCTCTGGTTCTCTCTGGTTCTCTCTGGTTCTCTCTGTGGTTCTCTCTCTGGTTCTCTCTGTGGTTCTCTCTCTGGTTCCCTCTGGTTCTCTCTGGCTTTCTCTCTCTGGTTCTCTCTGGCTCTCTCTCTCTGGTTCTCTCTCTGGTTCTCTCTCTGGTTCTCTCTGGCTCTCTCTCTCTGGTTCTCTCTCTGGTTCTCTCTGGCTCTCTCTCTCTGGTTCTCTCTCTGGTTCTCTCTGGCTCTCTCTCTCTGGTTCTCTCTCTGGTTCTCTCTGGTTCTCTCTCTGGTTCTCTCTCTGGTTCTCTCTGGTTCTCTCTCTGGTTCTCTCTGGTTCTCTCTGGCTCTCTCTCTGGTTCTCTCTGGCTCTCTCTCTGGTTCTCTCTGGCTCTCTCTCTGGTTCTCTCTCTGGTTCTTTCTCTGGTTCTCTCTGGTTCTCTCTCTGGTTCTCTCTGGCTCTCTCTCTCTGGTTCTCTCTCTGGTTCTCTCTGGTTCTCTCTGGCTCTCTCTCTCTGGTTCTCTCTCTGGTTCTCTCTCTGGTTCTCTCTGGCTCTCTCTCTCTGGTTCTCTCTCTGGTTCTCTCTGGCTCCCTCTCTCTGGTTCTCTCTCTGGTTCTCTCTGGTTCTCTCTGGTTCTCTCTCTGGTTCTCTCTCTGGTTCTCTTTGGTTCTCTCTCTGGTTCTCTCTGGTTCTCTCTGTGGTTCTCTCTCTGGTTCCCTCTGGTTCTCTCTGTGGTTCTCTCTCTGGTTCCCTCTGGTTCTCTCTGGCTTTCTCTCTCTGGTTCTCTCTGGCTCTCTCTCTCTGGTTCTCTCTCTGGTTCTCTCTCTGGTTCTCTCTGGTTCTCTCTGGCTCTCTCTCTCTGGTTCTCTCTCTGGTTCTCTCTCTGGTTCTCTCTGGCTCTCTCTCTCTGGTTCTCTCTCTGGTTCTCTCTGGCTCTCTCTCTCTGGTTCTCTCTCTGGTTCTCTCTGGTTCTCTCTGGTTCTCTCTCTGGTTCTCTCTGGCTCTCTCTCTGGTTCTCTCTGGCTCTCTCTCTGGTTCTCTCTCTGGTTCTTTCTCTGGTTCTCTCTGGTTCTCTCTCTGGCTCTCTCTCTGGTTCTCTCTGGCTCTCTCTCTGGTTCTCTCTGGTTCTCTCTCTGGCTCTCTCTCTGGTTCTCTCTGGTTCTCTCTCTGGTTCTCTCTCTGGTTCTCTCTGGCTCTCTCTCTGGTTCTCTCTCTGGTTCTCTCTCTGGTTCTCTCTCTGGTTCTCTCTCTGGCTCTCTCTCTGGTTCTCTCTCTGGCTCTCTCTCTGGTTCTCTCTGGCTCTCTCTCTGGTTCTCTCTCTGGCTCTCTCTCTGGTTCTCTCTCTGGCTCTCTCTCTGGTTCTCTCTCTGGTTCTCTCTCTGGCTCTCTCTCTGGTTCTCTCTGGCTCTCTCTCTGGTTCTCTCTCTGGTTCTCTCTCTGGCTCTCTCTCTGGTTCTCTCTCTGGTTCTCTCTCTGGCTCTCTCTCTGGTTCTCTCTCTGGCTCTCTCTCTGGTTCTCTCTCTGGTTCTCTCTCTGGCTCTCTCTCTGGTTCTCTCTGGCTCTCTCTCTGGTTCTCTCTCTGGTTCTCTCTCTGGCTCTCTCTCTGGCTCTCTCTCTGGTTCTCTCTGGTTCCTGCTGCAGGACGTTGGAGCTGCTCTGAGGAAGATCAGAGAGGAGCACAGAGCTCAGAGGAGAGCACTGGAGAGGAAACACAGAGACAAGGTGACATTACAACCACTGAACGTGTTCCAGGATCAATGAACTTCAGTTTAACATCAGCTGTTTCTGCAGAAGGGAATCATGTTTGAGATCCGGCTGGACGATGAAGAGATGGAGGAGGAAGAGGAGGAAAAGGTGGGTGATGGTCAGATGCAGGAGGTAAGTGAGTGCTCTCTCTCCTCTTCCTCTCTTCCTCTCTTCCTCTCTCTCATTCTGCCCCCGACTCCCCGAACAGGAAGTGGATCCTCTGAACCAGACTCTGAGCTTCCAGGAGGGCGAGGAGTTGAAGCTCAGGGATTGGTCGGAGGTGAGGAGGGGGTGGAGCCAGAGGACTCCTCACACTCTGCTGGACGCGCTCGCCAACATGGATGTCAACTCCGTCTACAGCACGGCGGTGGAGGCTGAACGAGGTCCCCCGAATGAATTTAAATCATAACTCTTCCCTGGTTGTCAGTGAACAGTTAAAATAAAGTTTATTATAGTTTATTAAAGTTTATTAAAGTTTATTGAACTTTATTATAGTTTATTAAAGTTTATTATAGTTTATTAAAGTTTATTATAGTGTATTAAAGTTTATTGAACTTTATTAAAGTGTATTATAGTTTATTAAAGTTTATTGAACTTTATTATAGTTTATTAAAGTTTATTATAGTTTATTAAAGTTTATTATAGTTTATTATAGTTTATTAAAGTTTGTTATAGTTTATTAAAGTTTATTGAACTTTATTATAGTTTATTATAGTTTATTAAAGTTTATTGAACTTTATTATAGTTTATTAAAGTTTATTATAGTTTATTAAAGTTTATTATAGTTTATTATAGTTTATTAAAGTTTGTTATAGTTTATTAAAGTTTATTGAACTTTATTATAGTTTATTATAGTTTATTAAAGTTTATTGAACTTTATTTTAGTTTATTAAAGTTTATTATAGTTTATTTAAGTTTATTATAGTTTATTAAAGTTTGTTATAGTTTATTAAAGTTTATTGAACTTTATTATAGTTTATTAAAGTTTATTATAGTTTATTAAAGTGTATTATAGTTTATTAAAGTTTATTATAGTTTATTGAACTTTATTATAGTTTATTAAAGTTTATTATAGTTTATTAAAGTTTATTATAATTTATTATAGTTTATTAAAGTTTGTTATAGTTTATTAATGTTTATTGAACTTTATTATAGTTTATTAAAGTTTATTATAGTTTATTAAAGTTTATTATAATTTATTATAGTTTATTAAAGTTTGTTATAGTTTATTAAAGTTTGTTATAGTTTATTAAAGTTTATAGAACTTTATCATAGTTTATTGAACTTTATTATAGTTTATTATAGTTAACTATAGTGTATTAAAGTTTATGAAAGTTTATTAGTTTATTATAGTTTATTAAAGTTTATTATAGTTTATTAAAGTTTATTATAGTTTACTATAGTGTATTAAAGTTTATGAAAGTTTATTAGTTTATTATAGTTTATTAAAGTTTATTATAGTTTATTATAGTTTATTAAAGGTTATTATAGTTTATTATAGTTTATTATAGTTTATTATAGTTTATTGAACTTTATTATAGTTTATTATAGTTTATTAAAGTTTATTATAGTTTATTATAGTTTATTATAGTTTTTTATAGTTTATTAACGTTTATTATAGTTTATTATAGTTTATTAAAGTTTATTATAGTTTATTAAAGTTTATTATAGTTTACTATAGTGTATTAAAGTTTATGAAAGTTTATTAGTTTATTATAGTTTATTAAAGTTTATTATAGTTTATTATAGTTTATTATAGTTTATTAAAGTTTATTATAGTTTATTCAAGTTTATTAAAGTTTATTATAGTTTATTAAAGTTTATTGAACTTTATTATAGTTTATTAAAGTTTATTGAACTTTATTATAGTTTATTAAAGTTTATTATAGTTTACTAAAGTTTATTATAGTTTATTGATCTCTATGTTTGTGTGTGTGTCTCAGGTGAGGAGGCGGCAGGTCGCAGGCAGTGGGTGGACGGCGCCCCGAACACTCTGCTGAACGCTCTCGCTCAGGCTGAACTCACATCATCAACCCTGGACTCAGTGACTGCAGGTTAGACCTCACTCACATCTGACTGATCAATGACTGATCCATCTATTGATCTGAACGCTCTCGACTCTCAGACTTAGAGCCAGAGGAGGACCGAGCAGCAGAGGAGGAGGACCGAGCAGCAGAGGAAGAGGAGGACTCTGATGTGGAGATGGATGAAGAGCGTCTGGAGCCGAGATCAGATGATGATGACACGTAAGTTCACTGTTCTCAGCTAGCTGGATGCCCCTCCCTCGCTTCGCTCTGGGCTTGCAGAAAGCTAACGTTAGCTTGTCTGATCTTATAAAGGTTAAGATGGCCGTCGCTGCAGTACGGGCACTGAAGAGGGTCCTGACCCACCTCCTTCTTACTTTCTCACCGACTATTGATCCAAGTGAAACTGAACTCTGTCAGATGCTGTCGAAACACTTTAAAGATAATTTCTACTTCCTGTTTCTCATCAGGAACTTTGAGGAGTCGGAGGACGAGCTGAGGGAAGCGGTGGCGGACTCCATGCAGAACCTGTTCATCCCGGAGGACGGGAGCTCGGACGAGGCCGAGAGGGCAGCGGTGGAAGACGGGAGGGAGCAGAGTGAGGACTCCCAACGGGTCCAGCCGGAGGTCGAGGATTCACGTTCAGACGCTGCCGCCACCACCGCCGCCGCCGCAGCCACCACCACTGGACCGACTGGGGTCGTTTCCACTGAGGCTGAAGAAGGCGAAGCTGCTTCAGATACGCAGCATCAGACTTCCTGAGTGCTAGAGGCTTTAATCTGAGTGAGTCGGACAATAAGACAGTCTCTCCTCATTCAACCTGCAGACACTGAAACTCTAATGATTATTTATCAGGATCAGGAGGTTCCTGTTATAACTAAATTACTGAGAGAATTCTTCAAATTAAAGCTCCTCTGTGGAGCGCTGTGGAGCAGTTATAAAGGCACTGACTGATATCAATAACACACAGAAACACTGAATGTAAAGCTGTAAGGCCTCAATGTGCCTCACACACAGACAGGTAAACAGGGCGTCTCACTGCCCGACGGTGTGGACTATTTTGTCCTTTGATGTTAGTGTTTCTACTGTGGGTTGCAGCAATAAATGGTTTTAATTGTGTTTAATTGGAATTTTGAGTCTGCACAGAGTATTTTATTTTGAAAATCGAACAGATTCTCTATGCCGTTTCTGTAGCTGACTGCAGTATAGACTCTCTCTCTCTATCTCCCCCTGGTGGCTGACTGCAGTATAGACTCTCTCTCTCTCTATCTCCCCCTGGTGGCTGACTGCAGTATAGACTCTCTCTCTATCTCCCCCTGGTGGCTGACTGCAGTATAGACTCTCTCTCTCTCTCTCTTTCTCTCCCTGGTGGCTGACTGCAGTATAGACTCTCTCTCTCTCTCTCTTTCTCCCCCTGGTGGCTGACTGCAGTATAGACTCTCTCTCTATCTCCCCCTGGTGGCTGACTGCAGTATAGACTCTCTCTCTCTCTCTCCCCCTGGTGGCTGACTGCAGTATAGACTCTCTCTCTCTCTCTCCCCCTGGTGGCTGACTGCAGTATAGACTCTCTCTCTCTCTCCCCCTGGTGGCTGACTGCAGTATAGACTCTCTCTCTCTCTCTCCCCCTGGTGGCTGACTGCAGTATAGACTCTCTCTCTCTCTCTCTCTCTCTCTCCCCCTGGTGGCTGACTGCAGTATAGACTCTCTCTCTCTCTCCCCCTGGTGGCTGACTGCAGTATGGACTCTCTCTCTCTATCTCCCCCTGGTGGCTGACTGCAGTATAGACTCTCTCTCTATCTCCCCCTGGTGGCTGACTGCAGTATAGACTTTATAGGTTTATAGGTTTCTGTCTGTTTCAAGTATTAATGTTTTCATCTGGGGTGGCTGTGGCTCAGAGGCAGAGCGGCTCGTTCCTAAATCGTAAGGTTGTGGGTTTGATCCCCGGCTCCTGGTGCCAGATGTCAAAGTATCCTTGAGCAAGATACTGAACCCCAAATTGCTCCTGACGCCGTGCATCTGTGTGTGAGTGTGTATGAATGTTAGTTTCTGTTCGATGGACGGTGAATGTGTCTGTAGTGTAAAAGCGCTTTGAGTGGTCAGA